GGAAGCACTCGGGTCGTTGATGTTCCTAGGTGGGAATAGGACAGAAAAAAAGGGGCCGACAGTAGGGTGTACAGTCCTACGTAATGGCTATTGGGCTAATGGAGAAGGGTAGAGCGACTAGATTATGGTTTGCCCTATACGCGGCAGTATAGTGGCCGGGTCAAACAGTCCTGTTAGACAGGATTAGAGGTATATATAGTGTAAGCTATATAAATAGTATTATAGCTCTTTAAAAAGCTATATACTACTTAGTCTATGTAAAAAATAAACTAAACATTAAACACACCTTCTAAAGAGTGTTCTATGTAAAAACTATATACATGTACTAAAGGTGCTAAGGGGAGCAAGAGGAGTTTATAGGAGCTTGCTAAAAAGAGCTCTATAAGCTCCCTTAGGCTTGCTAGACTTGTAGCCTGTCCTCCTTATTAGACAATGCATTCCTCTGTTATTGCAGGCAGTGATGCTGCCTCTGTGTACTCTAACTAGTGCATAAACAAGCCCTGTTCTAATCTAGCTAGATTATAGAGCACTGCTGGTAGAGTTATGTTAGTCTAACTATAGATTGTAACACGCTGCCCCTTCTCCCTAGCAGCGTCCTTAACGCTCTGCTTACACAACTGTGTTAGTAAGAGTTTGTTTATAAAGTAAGCGCCTACCTGCTAAAAGGCATCTTTAACATTTATCTTTTTTAAACTAAATAGCTTGTTAGTCTTATTTATCTTATTGTTCTTATATTACTTTTTGTTTTAAGCCTTTTTACTAGACAAAGATAAAGCCCTGCAGCGCTTACTAGTCTTTAGGGTTATTCTATGTGTTAATGTTGTTCTTAGACAGATGTGTTAAGTGCGTAAAAAAGCATAGTAAGTGCAACGCTTTTATTTCTAACGCTATATAAAATTAGTTAGAGAAAGAGAGAAAAACACTCTTTTAAAAGGCTGCTGCTGTAAGAGTTTATAAGTAGGTACTTAGTAAGGAGATGTTATGTTAAGTCTAGAAGATCCTAGAGGCAACAGCTAGGGAGCGTTCTAAGCAGGATTATATCTAAAAATTACTAGACCTGCTAAAGGCTTAGTATATAAAGTATTTAAAAAGGAATTTTTTTTTCTTAGATAAAATAAAAGCTTTTAAGGCTAAAGTAAAGAGTTGCTTTCTTTTACAGCCCTTATTAGCTAAGACTTATCTTTAAAGGCTGCTACTATCTAGTAATAACATAGCTATTCCTTTTAATATAGGTGCCTTATTACCTAGCTAGTTTCTTTTAGATAAGCCTAAAGGTACGCCTACACTAACTACTGTGCATTCTGTAAGTTCTTAGCTAGTTTCTATGTGTTTTTACTAGTAAGCTATTTTTTTTATTTTACTAAAAATTCTTTTTTATTTCTTTAGTTACTAATAATGTGTTTAACTTTATACTTAGTTTTTTTATTTTCTTATCTCTATATAGATAGAGGAATCTCTTTAGGTGCTTTTTCTAATTTAGAGATGTAGAACTATAGGTGTATTTTTATGTGTAGGGGAAGCTTAAGCTTATAGTTGTCTATGGGACTTTATATAGTCCTATTCTCTTTTCTGCTAGCTTCTAAGAGGGTCTAGATACTTTAAGGTTCTTAGTATTAAAGTACACATAGTCTTTTAGGCTAATTCCTAGGCTTAGCTGTTATAACTTATTTATGTATTATTTTATTATTTTTTAACTAGATTTAGCCTTAGTTACTAACTTTTTATAAATGTTTTATAGGCTTAATAGTTAATCTACTAATTTCTAAGAGTCTATAGGCTAGTTTCTTTATAGCGTAAAGTATAAGTTATACTTAAAATTAGCTTTATATAGTGTTTCTTTAGTTATAGCTAATTCTACTATGTTAATAGCTAGTTGTGCTATAAAAAGCTACTCTACCTAATTATTTTAGGTGTAAGAGATGTACTTCCTTAGATATTTCTCTACCTTAGCATTTACTCTTTTAGTCTAGCTGTCTGTCTGTGGATGGTATGCTGTAGATAGTTTGTGTGTTATACTAAGGTGTTGCATAGCTGCTTTCTAGAATCTGCTAGTAAATAATTTGTCTTAGTTAGAGATAATAACCTTAGAGCATTTATACACTAATATAATATTTTGTTTAAGCTTATAAATAAATTTCTTAGCTGTTATTATTTTTTTTAATAGCTAGGTGTGCAAGTATTTAGTAGTTTTATTAAAAGGAACTATAATTATATTGCACCTTCTTTCTATTCTTAGTTCTCTAGATAGAGGGAGTCCTGTAATAAAGTCTATTATAATTATTATCTATAGTTGCTTTAGGGCTTTAATTAGTTATAGATATCTATAGGCCTTATACCTCTATAAATTATTTCTGTTACAGGTAACGTACCTAACAGGTTGGCCGGCCACTTTTGCCAAGCCCCCACTAAAACCACCCTATTCTCTCGCAAAACAGCCCACTTTAGCCCTGTATAAAGTAATACAACATAAGATATTATTTAGAGTCTACTTCTACTACTTTCTTACATGTACGCAAGTTATGCCTAGTCTAATTACACTACTTATATTGCCTTTAACTTAGCTTACTTTTTTTAGTGTGCACTTGCGTCTTTAGCTTCTTCCTATTACTACGCGCTCTAAACTCCTTTAGAGTAGTTAGATAAGCCTTATTCTTAATTATTAAAGTCTTTTTTACCTAAATCTGCTTTCTTTTATGTAATCTATATTATGTAGTAGCCTTATTTACTGCTTAAAGCTCTATAATCTTCTTTTATACTAACACTAGCTTATGCGTAATAATTACTGCCCCCTTTAAGACTTTTTTAAAGGCCTTTACTATAGATGTTAGTAAGCTATCTACATGCTTTTAAATTCTTACCTTTATAAGCATTAATTATAACTTAAATTTAAAAGTATTACTTAGGGTTTACAACTACTAAAGCTTATTATTAATAGGTAGTAGTAGTAATAAAGTATGCAACTAGATGTTAAGGGCTATTTTAACCTATTTTAGGTTAAATAAGACTAAACTAGTGCTTTGAAACTCTTCTTAAATATTACTAGAAGTAATTACTGCATTATAAGTGTGTATAAAGCATAGTAGAAACTTAAGTTTTATAATATAAGTAATCTAGTTACACATAAGATTTTTAGCTTAGCGCTTATACACTTTTTTTAAAGGGGTAAAACAACCTACATTAAAAGGCTGTAAAAGGTGCAATAAGTGTAAAAGCATGTAGATAGTAATAATCTTATTTTTCTTATAGTACTGCTAGAAATTAAGTAAGTTATAGCTCTTATAGCTGTTAATAATAAAAAGCTAATAAGCACTTACAACTTTTTTTTATATGCTTATTAAAGTGCTTTAACTACTATCGCCTAAGCTTATTTATTATCTAGCTGTTCTTAGAGACTATAATAACCTAGTTCTAAGGCAGATTTTTCTTTTTATACTAAGTAAAAAAGTAATAGCAGCCTTTAAAAATAATAAAGAGTAAAATAGCTTACTTTACTATGTTAATGCTTTAGATAACTATTGTCTACTTCTTATTACTTTACTATATTACCTTTAGCTGTTTTTATTTCTCTAAAGCTATAATAACTGCTCTAGTTAATATTTAGCCTATTATAAAGCTTAACTTATTAAAGTTATATGTGTTTTTATTCTAGATACTGTACTTAGCTTTTATGTTAGCTACTAGGTAAAACTAGCTTTAGATAACCTCTAGATTCTTATAAAGTGCTCTTTTATAATTATACTTATAATTAAACTTTATTATAAACTTAGAGCAGTGCTTAACTTATATACTAGGCTAGTTTAAGCTAACCTAGCCTAAATTGCGCTCTGCGCGCAAGGAATTAGCTATATTAGCTACAGCTGTAAGCCTAAAGGAAAATCTGCGCATAATAAGCTTAAGTATATACTTAATAACTACTTTTTTTTTAAGCTTAGTTAGATTCTTTAATTTAGGCTAGCATTCTGCTTTTAAAGGCTGTCTAGCGCGTTAATTACTTAGTGTTATGTAAGAGACATTATAAATAGCTATAGTGTGTTATAAAGAGAGTTTTAAGTCTTATTTAAAAGCCTAAAGAGTAAGCTGTATTTAACATTCTTTAGAAGATTTAATCTAGTGTTGTTGTTAAGGCATTATGTAGATAGGTAGAGTGTGGTAGGGGCTTAGCAAAAGTGGCCGGCCAACCCGTGTGGCCGGCCAACCCGTTAGGTACGTTATTATATTTTCTAAGCACCTTAGTGTATAATTACTTTACCTTTAGTATCTGTCTTTGTATAGCTGCCTTTAGCTTTCTCTAAAAGGTGCCTATTCTTAGGTGTCTAAATATTAGAGATTTGTAATATTTGTATATTAAGTTTTTTTATCTTTGCTTACTTATAAAGAGCATATAGAGTTCTTTTATAAGTTAAGGTCTGTTATAAAGCTATCTTTTATTAGTTTTATTAAAAAGAGTAAACTTTCTAGTTCCTTTTTCTTTATTAAAGTAGTCTAGCCTTTAGCTAAGGGCGTTAGCCTACTAGTTTTATGCTTCTAAGACATGCTTAATAATATAGTTAAATTAAGCAAGCTCTATTGCCTATTTTATGTGCATAAGGGAGAGTTTCTTTACTATAAGGAACATAACTAGGTTTGTGTAATTAATTATAATATTAAAGGGTTTTGCTATTCTATGTAGCTCTGTAGCCTATACTCTTACTGCGTTTAGTATTGCTTTTAGCTCTTTGTTAGGTATACTATAGCCTACCTTAGGTCCTAAGAACTTAGCAGAGTAGTATGCTACTAGGTGCTACTTTCTATTCTCTTGTTTTTAGTAAAGTGTGGCTCTGCTAGCTTCTAAGAACGCATCTATATAGATCTTAGTGTCTAATTATAGGTTATACATTCTTAGTACTAGTTTAGCTGTTATAGTCTGCTTTAATGTTATAAATGCTTTATTTATCTATAGGGTCTAGACAAATTTTGCTGTTGCTTACTCTTTAGTAGTAGCATTTATTAGGGGTATTGTGATGACAAGCACTGTCTCTACTACCGTATGGAGCTGGGGAAGCATGGCAGAGTAGGTCGGCTCTATTTCAGCTAAACTAGGATGGGGAGTGAAGGAGGCGAAGGGTTTTCGCGAGAGAAAAGCTTGCGCAGCGCCAAGGCGCTAGCGCGCTCGCTTAACCCTTAGCGAGATCATGTGACTAGCAGCGGAGCTTGACAAGCAGCACCGTCACATTACCCCCCTCCAAGGCGGGCTCGTCCCCGAGTCCGTAGTTACGTACAATAATAACATGTATAGCGCGTTCCCTAGCCTCTATTATAGTCCCCTCTACTAGCAAGTTCCCTAGGCTGGCCATCCTTCCTTGTTGCCTCTAGGTCTTCTCCTGCCTCGTACGCTTGCAGCCAGGCTTCCAACCGCGCTGGGGGACCTGGTTTAAGCTGGCCTGGCAGCGCTGTTGGTGATTCCTTTCGCAGGCGATCTGCGTGGAAGACGTCGTGCGTGGGGTCTACCCGCATCTCGAGCTTTGAGAATTTCCCCATGCTAGTATCGGTTTGGTGCTGCTGGCAGTGCAGCCGATTGATCGATGATGCTGCTGGCAGTGCAGCTGGCTGGTCGGTGATGCTGCTGGCAGTGCAGCTGATTGATCGGTGATGCTGCTTTGGGTCCCGAGAGGGTGAAGCAGATGGGGCGGTGGTGCTGCTGGCGGTGCAGCCGTGTCGATGCTGCAGGCAGAGCAGCCGTTGTCTACTGCAGGCGGAGCAGCTGTTGTCTACTGCAGGCGGTGCAGCTATTGTCGATGCTGCTGGCGGGGCAGCCTATTGTTAATGCCGCTGGCGGAACAGCTGTTGTCTACTGCAGGCGGTGCAGCTATTGTCGATGCTGCTGGCGGGGCAGCCTATTGTTGATGCCACTGGCGGAGCAGCTGTTGTCTACTGCTGGCGGTGCAGCCATTGTCGATGCTGCTGGCGGAGCAGCCTATTGTTAATGCCACTGGCGGAGCGGCCATTGTCTACTGCAGGCGGTGCAGCTATTGTCGTTGCCGATGTACACCTAGCATACTAGCTAGAGCTCATGCAGATTGTGCCACCTGCAGGTATTCTCCCCCAGGCCAGTCTCGTCTGCCTATAGCTACCTAGAGACTGCAACCCAGCTCCTGAGTCTACGTGACTAAGAGAACTACCAGCCAAGTCCACTATATCTGCCCTTTCGCTGTCTAGATGTGTATGTATCGCTTTCGACTATTGGTGCTGCTGGCTGTGCAGCAGATGTCGGTGGGCCTGCCGTCTCTAGGCCTGTAAGGTGCCTGCTGCCTCAGGGCTTCCGATTGTGTAGCAGGGGATCGAGGGTGGTGGTGGTTTCGTACAGAGCCCGCGGCTCTCTTCGCGTCGTGCGGTGATGGTACTATAGGCCCCCCCCTACAGTCGATTCGAACTAGAGCAGCGCTCCTAGCTCAGGGCTCCTTGATGAGGTTGCTTTGGTTGCCTGGCCTGACCAGGGCTTTGAAGGCAGATGGCTATTGTTGACGAACTGAGGCTCGGCCTAGTCGTACTAGCAGATCTCCTTAATGAGGGTCGGTCGGCGAATGCAGCGCACAGGCTGATCGCTCGGTATGACCTAGATATTATGCCGCCGTCCTCCGGCTGAATGTTACTGATCCTAGTTTAATGTGATGACAAGCACTGTCTCTACGACTGTATGGAGCTGGGGAAGCATGGCAGAGTAGGTCGGCTCTATTTCAGCTAAACTAGGACGGGGAGTGAAGGAGGCGAAGGGTTTTCGCGAGAGAAAAGCTTGCGCAGCGCCAAGGCGCTAGCGCGCTCGCTTAACCCTTAGCGAGATCATGTGACTAGCAGCGGAGCTTGACAAGCAGCACCGTCACAGGTATAGTAATTTTTAAGTAGTCCTTAATTATTTATCTAATGTATTCTAATAGTCTAAGGAATCCTTTAACTTTCTTAACTATTATAAGTTCTAGCTATTTAAGTACCTTTTATACTTTAGCTAAGTTAATTTTTATTTCTTTACTATTAATTATAAATTTTAAATATTCTGTTTTAGTAACATAGAATTTACACTTAGAGAGCTGTAGATAGAGTCTATATTCTTTTAGCTTTTCTAGAACTTTTTATACCTTTTGTACGTAGTCTTCTAGGCTATTCTTTAAGTAGATAAGGACGTTATCTAGGTATACTAAGGTAAAGACGTTAAGGTATAGATTAAAGGCTGTGTTAATAACTTGCTAAAATGTTACTAGAGCGTTTATTAAGCTAAACAGCATTACTAGTAACGTACTTCATGGGCAAGTTGCTTACACACCTGAGTCGCTTACTTTTGCTAAGACCCTACTAAACCACCCTTCCTACACTAATGCATTCCCTACAACACTACTTAGACGCGCTAAAAGAATGTTAGATATAGCTTACACTCTAAGCTTTTAAATAAGACATAAAACTTTTAAAAAAATGTGCTGTAGCTATGTGTAAAGTCTTATAAAAAATAATAAATAACTATAGCACTAGACAACTTTTATAAGCTAATTCTACAGCTAAATTATAAAAGCTAGGCAATAAAAAAGAGCAGGTAATTATTAAGACTATACTTAAGCTATATACGCAAGGAATTTCCTCTTAGATAGCATTTATAGCTAATATAGCTAATTCTTTACACGCTAAGTGTAATCTAGGCTATATTTATATAAACTAGCCTAGTATGTTTATAAAGTGTTATTTAAAGCTTAAAGTAAAGTTTTAAGTGTAAGTATAGTTAAAAAATATCTAGCTAATTATAAACTCTGTTTTACTAAAGTTGTACGTGTTATTATTCTAGATGCTATACTTAGCTTTAATATTCTCTACAAGGCTAAACCTGCTCTAAATTACCTTAGGACTTTTATAAAAAGCTCTCTTATAGTTATACTTACGCTTAAATGTTACTTTAAGCTCTAAATAATACTTTATAAATATACTAAGCTAGTTTATGTAAACATAGCCTAGATTACGCTTAGCGCGTAAAGAATTAGCTATATTAGCTATAAATGCTATTTAAGAGGAAATTCCTTACGCATATAGCTTAAGTATAGTCTTAATAATTACCTACTTCTTTTTATTACCTAGCCTTTGTAATTTAGCTGTAGAATTAGCTTGTAAAGGTTGTCTAGTGCTATAGTTATTTATTGTTTTTTATAGGACTTTGTACATAGCTATAGCATATTTCTTTAAGAGTTTTATGTCTTATTTAAAAGCTTAGAGCGTAAGCTGTATCTAACATTCTTTTAGCGCGTCTAAGTAGTGTTATAGGGAATGCATTAGTGTAGAAAGGGTGGTTTAGTAGGGTCTTAGCAAAAGTAAGCAACTTAGGTGTGTGAGCAACTCGCCCATGAAGTACGTTAATTTATAGAGTCCTTATAGAGTTTAAAACACTATAAGCTACTTATCTCTTTTTTTTTTTTTATCTTATTAAATCTGTCTTACATATTAAACTTTATAAAGTACTAGGTTTCTTTTAGCTAATTTATAATGTTTTATATAATTAGTAGAGGAAACTAGTTTCTAATTATGTTCTTGTTTAGAGTTCTATAGTCCTAATAGACATGTATCTTCCCTTCTTTTTTCTTTACAAAAACTACTGCTAAAGCTACTAGGCTGTAGCTTTTTTAAATATAGCCTTAGGCTAGCATCTAGTCTATATATTCCTGTAAGGCTTTCTTTTGTGTTCTTGTTAAAAGATAAAGCCTGTGTGTTTTTAGGTTATAGTCTTTTATTAGATTGATAGCGTAGTCCTAAGGCTAATGTAGGGGTAATTCTTCTAGGTTCTTAGATGTCTTAAACATATCCTTATAATCTTTATATTTAGTAGGGATACTCTTTTCCTTTTAAATCTTAAAGATCTTAACCTAGTCTACATCTTTGTTAGCTTTTATTTTTTTATAAAAAAAATTTTTAAGTTCTTTTTTTATTAGTCTTATTACCTATGCTTGTCACGATTGTGCACGAGTAAGGTTATAGAGCTTCACAGAGGTCTAGTTTAATTACTATGTAAGGTATCATAGTAGGTACAAGACGTTGTGTGAGGAACAGAAAGGTTTAAAAGAAAATTAGCAATTAAATACTTAGCTTAGAAGTCTAAGCGCTTTAGGTATAAATTAAGCCTATTTTAAGTTTAGTTAGTGTTAAAGTAGTTTATGCTTAAGTTTATGTCTATGTTATGTTATATTTATGTTAGATGTGCACTAATAATACTCTAGTACACGTTTAATATAGTTATGTCTAGGATCTAGGGAGGATACTGTGATAGTACCCCTCCTTTATTAAAAAGGGAATCCTTTACATTAGTAGTTCTAGTATTAGGTTGTCTTTATTAGGGTACAGGTTTAGTTTAGATAAGTATTAGGTGTAGAATTAGGTTACTATAGAGTTCTTTTATAAGGCTTTTATAGGTTCTTATAACAGTTTGTTATATCTAGTCTATTTTATAAAGTATTTATAGATATGTTTTTTCTTATTAAACTAGATCTATTTAACATCTTCTATAACATATTTTAGTTTGTTATTTATAATAACAGGTTTAGGTAGCAAGTTTAGCTGTTTAGGTAGATAGTTAGATTTAGAGGCTGCTTAGCGCAGCAATAATACGTAGAACACAGGGTGTATCTTTATGCTGTTAGGTAGGATTAATTAGTAAGTATATAATAAAACTATATAGGCTACTATAAAGGGGCTAAAGTTTTTCTAATTAAGTTTCTTTAATTATTAGTTTATTTAGATATTTCTAGCATTTAGCTAGACCTTCTTGCTAGCTGCATACGCAGGAGTGGGAGTTTAGAATTAGTTTATGTACTTTTATTAAAGAGCTTAAGCCTATGTAAGCTCTTTATAAACATATTTAGATATGTTTTAGATTTTATTAATAAGTTTATTTATATCTATTACTTATATAGATTAATAAGTTAGTTAGGGGGTATTTAAAAGTAGTTTAAATCTTATTTAGGGGTAGTATCTATAGTTTACTAAGAATAAAGATACTTATGTTAATTTAGATGTTATGTTATTAGCTTTAAACTATACTATAGCTAACTATTTTACCTAGTTGTTCTACTAGTAGTTTGTGTACACTTATAAGACTTATTTTATTATAGTGTTTATGTTCTTAGTCTAGCTGTTAGTCTTTAGGTAAAAAGCTGTAGATAGATAAAGGATAATTTAAAGCTGTTTATAAAGTTTATTCTAGAAGGCTAAGACAAACTGCGTACCTCTGTCTAATATAATTATATTAGGCAGGCTATAGTAAACTTATACATATTAGTAGAATAACTAGGCTATATTAAGGGCAGTTATAGAGAAACATAGTATTAGGTGTTAATACTTAGTTAAGTAATTAATAACTACTATAATATTTATATACTCTTTAGATAAAAGTAGGTTTATAATAAAATTAATTAATATGTCTTTCTAAGCTTATTTAAAGATTAGGAGTAGTTTAAGTAGGCTATTATACCTTTTTTAAAAAGCCTTTACTTTACAGCAAGTATAGCAACATAATACATATTAGCGTACAGTATAGAACATGCAGGGCTAGTAGTACTCTCTCTATAGTAGGTTAAGAGTCTTTTCTCTGCCTAGGTGTTCTCTAATAAGCAAGTTATGTATAATTTAGAGTAGTTTAATTTTTAGTTTATTAAAATTAAAAATTATAAGTTAGTTATAGTAATATAGCTTACTATTTTAGTTTTTATAGTTAGCTAGTGTTACCTTTTTTAACTAACTAGCGCTGTTTTAGAGCAGGTCTAAAGTTTCTTAGATAAATTTATTATTTAAATACTTATTAGTAATAATCTAATTAATTATCTAATTTATTTTATTTAAGTTAAGGTCTAAAAATAGCTTAAGTTAAAGTAGAGTTTAGTGTTAAGCTTTTTATGCTTTTTTCTAAGTAAAGACATTTTAAGATTACTTTATAAAGGCATCTAGTTTCTCTTTATTTTAACTAAGATAATAAGTAATCTTAAAATTAAAATAAAATAGGTATTTAAACTAATAGGCTTATTAGTAGCTAAGTTATTTTATAGTTGTAAAGTACTATAAGTTCTTATAGTTAGATAGGACCTGTATTAGATGCGCTGCACCTTCTAGTTTAAGTTACTATTATTTAAAGTAGTGTACTATAGCAAGTAATTTCTTATTATAGATTTTATAATTACCTTCTATAGAGCTTATTCTTTTTAAGAAGTATGTAATAGGCCTAATAGTCCTGTCTAGCTTAGTCTAGGAGAGAACTCCTGCTACTATGTAGTCTAAGGCATTAGCTTCTACAAGTATTAGTAGTTTAAAGTTAAAGTAGTAAAGTATTAGAGCTTTAGTAAAGGCTTTCTTTAGCTAGTTAAAAGACTATTAGTAATTTAAGTTAAAGTTAAATTAAATTTTTTTTTTAGTAAGTGTAATTATAAAGCTTACTAGCTATAAAAAGTTATTAATAAATTATTAGTAGAAGTTAGTAAATTTTATAAAGGCTTAAACATCTTTTATGTTCTTTAGGTATTGCTAATCTAGCACAGTTTAAACCTTAATAGGGTCTATTTAGATGCTATTTATAGAGATTATATATCTTAAATACATAACCTTTAATTAGTACAACTTGTATTTATCTACATTAAGTTATAGACTTACTTCTTCTATCGCTTTTAGCACTAGGCGTACATGCTGTTTATGCTCTAAAAGGCTATTACTATAAATTAGAATATTATTAATATACACAGTATAAAACATGTCTAGGTAGGGTTAGAGTAAGTTGTTTATAAAATGTTAAAAAGTACTAAGCGTGTTAGCTAAGC